GGCGTCTTGCCGCCCTTGCCCTTCAGATACATCAGAACCTTGCCCCACAATTGGACGGAATGGTAACTATAAGAAGTTTCAATGTCCTCCAGGTCACTACAATGATCTTGCCAGTCTATTTTTCAACACAAATGATGATGCAATCAAAAACCTTTTCAGCAAGGATACTGATGCTGAGTTTCACCATCTCTCGATGCTAATTTTCTTCTTCACCTGTTTTGTCCTGAGCATCTTTAGTTATGGTATAGTCGCACCGGCAGGTCTCTTTGTGCCTGTCATTGTGACAGGTGCTGCTTATGGTCGATTTATTGGGATGATGTTTGGTTCGCACTCGACTCTTAACCATGGCCTGTTTGCTGTTTTAGGCTCAGCTGCCCTTCTTGGGGGTTCTATGAGAATGACAGTTTCGTTATGCGTAATTATCCTAGAGTTGACTAATGACCTCCTCTTGCTGCCTCTAATGATGCTAGTTCTTCTTATATCCAAAACTGTAGCTGATACATTTAATGGGAATATATATGATCTCATAATGAGGTTGAAGGGTTTCCCTTACTTGGAATGTCATGCTGAACCTTATTTGAGACAACTGGCAGTCTGTGATGTGGTCACAGGCCCACTCCAGCTCTTCAGTGGCATCGAGAAAGTTGGCAACATAGTTCATGTCCTCAAAACTACAGGGCATAATGGCTTCCCGGTGGTGGATGAGCCCCCGCTTTCCCATTCACCAGTTCTATTTGGTTTGATACTTCGTGCACATCTCGTTGAATTGCTAAAGAAAAAAGCATTTATTCGAGATCCTGTACCTGCTGGATCCGATGCCTTTAACCACTTTTCAGCTGATGATTTTGCAAAGAAGGGTTTAGACCATGGAGACAGAGTGGAAAATATACAACTGACAGATGAAGAGATGGATATGTTTATAGATCTGCATCCTTTTTGTAACACTTCACCCTACACTGTTGTAGAGACTATGTCCTTGGCGAAGGCTCTTGTGCTCTTCCGGGAAGTTGGTTTAAGGCATCTGCTGGTAATACCCAAGGTTTCTGGGGTAAGAACTGTTTCTCATCTTTTCTCTTGCAAATTCTTTTTTGATGATCTTCTAGGAAGCTATATCTTGTCCCTAAAATATAATTCAACAGTCAATAAAAGATACATTAACATAACCTTAAGTATCTGCCTGTGCATTAATTTATGACTTCGGTTCCTGTTTATATTCATTCATGAATGCATTCTTCACCAACACCTTGTGCTTTTTCAGGTATTTGATATGAAACACTTATGATCTTTGAGTTCCTAGTTTTCTTGTTTCTTTCTACATCTTGTTTGTTTCTTGGTTGCGTCAACCTTCACATCCTCTTCTCATGGGATTAAGTTTTAACAGTTGCCTAAATGTTAAATCTTAATTTACTCTTCCTATTTCATCCACCATGTTGATAATGCAAGTGTTACTTCTTGGAGCCAAATACATTTCGTAGATCATGTTTTTTATTTGTTCTCCCAGTGAAGGTATATTCATCTTCTTTGACTGCGTTTAGAAATTGTTCTTCTCTTGTTTGCAGAGAGTACCTGTTGTGGGTATTATTACAAGGCATGATTTCATGCCAGAGCATGTGCTAAGCTTGCATCCATCCTTGGCTAAGAGCAAGTGGAAAAGATTAAGGTTCAAGTTACCTCCCTCGGTTAAATTCTTTTAGGGATTACATCTGACTTCCAAAATAGTCTGCTGAGTTATGTGAATAGAGCTGTACAACATGGCTGCACGATGCTAGAGTGGTATAATTTTTGTTCCTTAGTTTCCTTGTCAAATTCAAAGATCCTAAGGGTCTTCTTTAGATGGATTCTGTATTTATTTAGCTTCTATCAATCAACTCAGTTATGAATAAAAATACTTTCATTTTTGTCATGCTCTTTTTCCCTTTGATTCTGCATTGCAAACGGAGCAATGATGTTCCATTTTTCTCTTCAGGCTAGCATCGCTGACGGACTTAACAGTCTCTTTAAAATAGAGAAAAATGCTAAGCGGGGTGAGGCTTCACCTACCCAACAACCCTTGTTTGGCCAAGCTTTTCCTAAAGGCCATAAGTGTTTTTTTTTTTTTTCGAAAACACTTTTTTTTTTTTAACTCAAGATGTTTGGCAGCTTTTTGGGGGGAAAAAAAAATACTTTTGGGAAGATGCAGAACTAGTTTGACTTTTCTTCTTACCAAAAATACCCTTAACAAAATATAGTATATACCAAAATAACCGTTAAATGTAATACTACTTAGGGTATTAATATATAAGTATTTCTTCTTATTTTTAGGATAGTTTTCTAATATATAGTGACTTTAGGGGTGAATGTTTTTATATTTGTTGAATGATTTTTAATATATTTGAATAATATTAAAAGATTTAAAGTACTTTTTAATTTTATTTTCATATTTTATTTAAATAAAATGAAAAGATTTAATTATTGCATGTAATAACAAATTTTTGAGATTATTTATTTACTTATAATATTAACTATTAAGTAAATCTATTCATGTCATTATTCGTAATTTGATACTTAAAAACACTTTTTGAAAAGCTTGGCCAAACACAAATTATTGTTCAAAAGTATTTTTCAAAGTGATTAGCCAAACACAAACTGCTTCTCTCCAAAAATACTTTTTTCAGAAGCACTTTTAAAAAAAACACTTCTCAAAATAAGCTGATTTTTACAGTTTGGCCAAACAGGCTATTAAAGTTCCATATGTTTGTCAAGAAGAAGAAGAACAACAAACCTAGTATAATTTCACAAGTGGGGTCTAGGGAGGATAGTGTGTATACAGACTTTATCCCTACCTAAAAAATAGAGAGGGTGTTTCCGATATACCTCGGCTCAAGAAGGTTATCTTAATTTTTTTGGGAGTAAGTAGACCTTTGTGGTGCTTCTGCTGAATATTAAAGAATTGTTCGTTTTCATATTATGATGATTGCACTATGCATTTCTGAAATACATATATAAAACAGGCTCCTTGGAAATTTTGGCTCTGAGGTGCACACTTGTGCAATGTTTGAACCAACAATCTGATAAAACATTCAAGGAGAGCAAACAAAACTCAGTGAGAAAGTTATTCATTTTTCCGAACCACGGATCTTTTTTTTTTTTTTTTTTTTTTTTTTTTTTTTTTTTGCTTTTTCTTTTTATTTTGGGTTTCAGCATCCTATATGCAAAGCTTATTGCCTGGTATGCGAAGTTTATCTGCCCTGCTAATTCGTATTGGCGCTGAGTAGGTACAATAAGAGGGTAAATCGCATGGCAGCTGTTTTCTTTTTCTGACTTTCTTGTCCCTTTACTAGTTAACTCAGGATATTCTACAATATCTTAAGAAGACATTAGTAGCATTAGTTATAAATGTACAACTTCTAGTCCAATTTAAATGTCTTTTTCGCCTTTCAGATTTGATCTATCTGGAATTGTGAAAACTTTGGAGCACATTCTTACTGTTTGTCAAATTTGGTCAATCTACTACATGAAAAACAGCTATTTTAAAAAGAAAAAAGAGTTCCGTGCCAATAAATATGATCTTATGCGTTCATCAATTCTTCTTTTTTAGTACCTTAGATAATTGTTGGGAAATGAAGCAATCACTGATTTCTGTGGATGACGTATTATTCGAGAAACTATATTGGCAGTACTCAGACATTAAGTCATGTATAGTTTCGTGCAACCGCACCTTATTACAATTCGGTTCAATACGTCCAACAGACAGCTGGAAGTTGCAAGCCATAAGTGAGCAGCTTGTAAGAAAGGACTAACTTTGTTTTTTTTTTTTTTTTTTTTTTTTTTTTTTAGGTTTCTCGCTCGATGTTCGATATTTTTATTTTTTTTCATAATCAGAATTCAAATTTGAAACATCTAATTAAAGATAAAGATTATAGTCATCCCATCACAACTTTTATTAGTGGTGAAAAAGGACTAGCTAAAAAAGTGTGTACATATGTAGTACTCTAATAGGGATCAGTATTTTAAAAGATATTTTTAGGTCGAGTTCCGAGACGAGTCCCGATGCAGCGTATTGCAAAACGCTTTGGGATAACGAAAGTATCGCGAGACGTAAGCCCATTTTTCTAGGCGTACACTTAAGCGTGAAGAGAATTTTTGTTTTGAAGCGTATGCCCAAAAATTCTCTCCAAATTAGAATTCAAATTGATTCTTGCAATGTTTTGACTGTTCGCTAGTCTTCCTCTTCTCCACAAAATAAGAGTTTAGTTACTACTCCTACCATTTTAATTGAATTAAATTTATTTGATTTTATAAGAATTTAAGAAATGAAGGAAGACTTTTAAAATTTATGATTTAAAGTATATCTAAATATTTATATTTATATAATTTTTTTAAAATGTGGCCTTAAATATGTTATAACAGTCATATAATTATACAAACTTTTCATTAAGAGTAAAATAAGAAATTTACATTTATTTTTTTTCAAATTTAAAAATAAGTTCTTTATGGAACAGACGAAAAACGCAATTTAGTTCACATAAACTGGAATATAATACTATTATTATTAGTTATCACTTAATACTTATTATAAATATTACTCATAATTACCTTTTATATTATCTTTTGTAAAAAATTTCTTACATTTGATAATTTGATGGGACTTTCTTGGGATTTCTTGTTAATATTTATTAAATTTTCATAAAATTTAACAGCAGAATTGCATATCACTTAATCATGATTTGAACCAAGGGACACTTTTGTTTCATTTTCTCCTAATATCCCCAAACTTCTTTTTTAAACCAGTACAGTAAATAAGAACCTATAGAAGGATAAATAGTTAATCGCATCGCGTGTTTACACTTAATTAAATAACTAATTTTAAGAATCAATAAATTACACTAAAATTACATATCATCACTTAACTGTGATTTACCTGTTGAAAAGTGTGTATACAAGATATACGCCTTTATTGGCTTAGTGTAAATATATAATACGGATAAATTTTTCCTTATAAAAGTCCCCTACTACTCCCAGCTAGCTAGTACTCAACTTCTCAAATAAATTGCATCCCACAATTTCTCTCCTATTACTCTCTCTCTCTCTCTCTCAAATAAGATGGGGCGTTTGTTTGCAACTTTCTTCCTTGTAGCTATGCTGCTTTTGGCCACTGGTTCGTTTTCTATCTCCATACACTTTTCTAATATAATAGTCCTCTCATTATTTATATATATATATATATATATATATATATATATATATATGATGAAATTTGATTTAGTACGAAGTTTAGAAAATTAAGAAAATAACTGATCATTTTAAACATATATTGAAATTACTCTTAGAAGTTAGTTGTAGTTTTGAATATGCTATGTCAATTTTATGACTATAAAAATATTTTACTAAGATTAAACGCAAGGGCGAAGCGATATGTGTTCAAGGGTGATCAACTGAATACCCTTTGTGCGAAATTTTTTATTGTGTATAGAATAAAATATTACAGTAAAGATTTTGAACACCCTTGCATAGCCGTCTAGCAAATGATGTTTAGATATTGAACACCTTTATTGAATTTTCTTGTTTTGCTACCGATTAAAAGGTCAAAATAATTTTGCATGGTTATATTCTTATATTGTAAATCCTCTTAACGAAAATCTTGCATTAATATTGTACTACTCCTATACTGTAAGTCCTGATTTTTGATGTTTTCATATTTCACAGAGATGGGACAAATGAGCAGTGCAGAAGCAAGGACTTGTGAATCACAGAGCCACCGTTTTCATGGAACGTGCGTTAGGGATAGCAACTGTGCCTCCATTTGCCAGACGGAGGGCTTCATCGGCGGCAACTGCCGTGGTTTCCGCCGCCGTTGCTTCTGCACTCGAAACTGTTAAAGATCCAAAGAAGAAAGTCGAAAATGATCTTTTAACTGTCTTTGTAATCGTTTACTTGATAAATAAGTTATTTTTCAATAAAGAGTAACTCGTGCTTTAGTCTATGATTGCAATTCTATGTATTTTCATATCTAGTTCTTTTATCAACTTAATTATCACCTATTGAGCAATGGATAATATTGTGAGCTTAATTAACACCTAAAATTAATAGACATAAAAAAGTTAAATTATATTGTAAAGTTGACCTAAAAGATATAATTGTAAGTAATTATTTTTTATATATTGAAAACGGTATCATAATTTAAAAATAAGATATGTTTTTTATTAAACATATAAGATATTTTTAGGGCGATTCAGGAATACTTGTTACAAGAAGAGATGAGGGAAATGATAGGAGAAATTTCATGCAAGAGAGTTATGGTAATTTAGCTTGTGTTTGAGTGATTAGTTTGTAAAGTATTTTTGTTAATATTAGAATATTATTTAGTGCATGATTAGGGTTTTAAATGTGCTTTTACGAAAATTAATTTTTTTAGCTTCTGAAAAATAACTTATGTTACTACTTAGAATACTGACTCCCTTCTTTTTTATGTGGTAAGGTTTGAAGTATGAGGATCAACGTTGTTTGATCTTGAAATTTATAAATAAATTCTTCAAAATATTGAAAATAAAATTTATATATTTAAAAATTATATTACAAGTCATAATAATTTATAGTTTAAAATATTTATAAAATTATTTTTAAAAAAATAACAAAAAGAACTTTTTTGACTCCCCTACTAATATAACTGTTACATTTTATTGTTTTCCTATATATACGTCTCGGAGTTGAAAGAACAAGATGAAAACATGTATTTCTTCTGCTTTAAATTTAAAATAATAAATCACAATTACTTAAAAATGTTTACAAGAAAATGGTCAAAGAAAAGTCAATAATAAGATGTGCATGGATTCTACTCTACACAAACGTCGACTGTGTCTTAACATTTTAACACCTGTAAATTCTTGACAAACACGTGTAACAGATAGAGCCCCTATTATAGTAAGTACAGATTTTGAAAATGGTTCAACTTTTTCGTTCTTATAAAAATAACTAGTGTTAATTACACTAACGCCCATATTATATGATCCAGTTTTGGATACACCCTCCGTATTTTGGAAAAAGCACATATACCTCTATAGTATAGAAATTCTATACATATACCCTCTTTATTTATCACCTAACCATGGTTAGGTGATATGTATTTACAATTTAATTTGTGACTATGGTTAAACTGTTTGATATGTAAGTAGTGGGTGCGGGTAAATTTTGATCAGTAAAATAAAAACTAACTTGCACCTACTGTTTACACTAACGATCGCAATATACACACAAAATTATTGCCCGCTAGTCAAAGATAGTATAAATTAATTATCGTCTCCACATGAATTGGATTTAAATAATGTTTGAATAATCTCCAGTTGATTACTATCCAGAAAAATTAATACTTGATTTGATGACTGTTACTACGATTTACTACTAAAAAATTAAGCAAATAACAATTGATCACAAAAGACACCAGATGAGCAACGAAGAGCTATCAATGAGAGGGATACGGGTATTTGACTAGATAGGTGAAAGATAACTGAGTCGGGATTCAATTCTTGAGTTAATTCACTCTATAATACGATTTATTCTCACGAATTCAACCGATAATCAGATTGCACTTGAAGTTAATGTTCCTCTTCCGATTAAACGTTAATTCAGTAATTAATCCAATTGAAGCACGGTAAATAATTGCAACAATCAAATGATGGTTATGATCTAAAGGGTAGCTTTTCACGAATATTTTTCTATTTTCTAGTTCGATTAATAATTCAAGAGGCTCTTTCGATTACCTATTTGAATCACGAATTTAAACAAGAGCATAAGATGTGAAGAAATTCAATATCAAACTCCTCTTTCGATTAAGAAAAATAATAAATAACTCGCAATACAAATTAAAGCTCCATCAATTAATTCTAACAATTATCAAGAATCGAATCCTTAATCAAGTTATCGAAACACTGTATTTGTTAACACCCTAATGGAAATTACTCCATAACAATGGAGTATGACATCTCAATAATGTTTAAAAAAAAAAAAATCAATTTTAATGATTCGACACAAACTCTCGTATTGCACCGATTGCAGCTTAAAATATTGATGAATTCTTGAGTCTTCTTGCCTTGGTTGATTCTCCAATCTTTCGTAGGTCAAAACTCCCTTCAAAATCGTATTTTTGGTGTATTTATACCGTGTACAAATAAGCTCGGACGAAACTAACCTTTCCTAGCTGAACGTGGAAACACCCATGCGGCGCGCTTGTGGAAAAAACCAGAGAGCTCGAACTTTTGCGTGACAGACCACTTCTGCACTGTCGCGCGGTGCCCCATGCGGCGCGATAGTGATTTTTTCTCAAAGTAAGTTCGTTTGTTCATTTTTTGACATTCGGACTTGGTTTTCGACCCCCGGACATGATCCCCGATTAATTTTTTGGGCTTCTACTCAGACTTCAAAGCTCCAACTTGTTCCCATGCTCATGCGACGCCGACGTCGATGAGGAATGCTACCTGGTTGATCCTGGCACCACCAGGAGTGGAGCCTGCGACTTAATTTGACTCAACGACGCCGAAACCTATCAAATCACGTCCAATTAGCCTAAAATATTGCACACAAGTCACATTTCACATTACGGACCTATTCAAATTTCCAGAATCAAATTCTGACCCCGATATCAAAAAGTCAACCCCCGGTCAAACTTCCCAAAAATTTAACTTTCGCCATTTTAAGCCTAATTCCACTACGGACCTCCAAATAATTTTTCGGACACACTCCTAAGTCCAAAATCACCATACGGAGCTATTAAAATTATAAAAATTCAAATCCGAGGTCGTTTATACATAAGTCGACATCTGGTCGACTTTTCCAACCTAAGTTTTCCATTATGAGACTAAGTGTCTCAATTCATTCCGAAATCTCTCCGAACCCGAACTAACTAATCTGATAGGTCATAATACAGTTATAAAGCACAAATAGAGCAGTAAATGGGAAAACGGAAGTTGTCTATTTCCCAATTCAAGAACGCACTCAACCCTCCAAATTTGACGCCAAATGACTCAAAGCTAGTCAAACATTTCACCTGGACAAAACAAAATTTCTGCGATCCTTGTTAAGAAACGACTTCGGGGCTCGAAAGTAGAACTTTGATTTTAGTGATACAGAGTTGGGTGATTCTACCTTTATGCAACCTGATTTTGACTCTCACGACAGTTGTTTAAGAAAACGCTTAGAGATAGGTGAAAGAGTAATTATATTTGACTATTTATAATGCACGTATTCCCTATTCGAGCTTTATAGTGATTCCCACGCTCAAGCAGTAATTCAATTTAAATAAAAATAAAACTTTTCGGAACTTTACTATCTGAAATGATTCAAAATGCTAATTAATGTTCTTCCCTTCAGATATTACGTTTTGCATGTGCACTTTTTGAACTTCTTCTGAGTCTTACAACAACAAAAAGTTGAAAAGTAGGCGCATTCTTTTCGACTACATGCTTGATGTCTCCAAAACCTCTGTGGCACTCTTCTGAAAAATGAAGTGCCACAATCCTCCCTGGGGCCTGAATGTATTTGCTCAAGTGTCTACCCTTCACAAAACAGACACAGAGATATCTAAGTGGTTTCGATTCTTTCTAAATTATCACATTACAACTCCTACTTCAGTCTCACAGAAAATTGGGAATAATACATAAGCGTGTTATTATTTCACCTTCTGATGAAGCTAAAGAAAATACTCGATAGAGCAATCAGAGTACTGAAACATAATACCGAGAATAATATTAAAAAGCTTAGTGCTTCTCCACTTTATCTTCCATACTGTTTTATGTTACCTTTCTTTATCTCTGTGCGTTCTCCCTAAAATATAGACCAACAAAGTGATAAAAATGGTTCATGAAATCAAGTGAAACAAATCAGATAAATTAACTGACTATGTCTTTTATGCTTAACAATGATACTTTTTTTTCTCATTGCATTATTTAAAAAAGAGTACACGGGAATACGACCCAAGAATTCAAGTGCAAATTTATTTATAATAACTTGTTGGTTTAAACTTCTTGGTAACTCTTGCATATAAGAGTGTAAAAATGGGACAAAAGATATTAAACCTGAATCATAAAGGGCAACGAATTTGTACATGAATTCTTAAGGTAACTCTTGCATATATGAAAAAAGAATCATCATGTCAAAGAACTGTATTTTGAGAAACTTTTTTTTAATGAGGCTCTAGACTTATTAACTCTTACTTGATGAGATTTTGGAGTTATTAACTCTTGTAAACCATAATGAGAGACTCCTTACCTAAAGAGAGAATATGTCATGAGAAGATGTTGCATTTGAAACTTCTTAAATAGGGCGGTGGATCCAAACAACAATACATCTTACATCTGGAGAAGATGAATGAGATAAACCCTTGACTAAAAATTTGATATACTTTGGAAATATAAAATTATTTGCCAAGAAAATATCACCATAAAGAAACAACAACTTTGGAGGGAACTCTTCTGCACACCAGGCATTAGCAAATGAAAAATATTACTATTAAAGTTGCCGAATCTAACCAGCTTTAATTTGAAAGAGCAATCAATTAACATTATGGTATTTTGCAACTAAGAGTGCATTCTAATCTTCCTGGATATCATAAGTGGAGGTTAAGTACAATCTTGCACTGGATCGGGTAGAAGAGCTTCCTAAAAATATTATCAAATACAAAACATGGGTCTTGTTTTTTTTGTTGAGAAAGTGATGAAATACAGAACATAGTATTATTTCTATTTGGCGTAAACAGGTTTATTCGAGTTAACAAGTTCCATTGAATTGAAGGAGAATATATTTACCGGTAATATAACAAGGTAGAATGTTATTTGGTACTTATATTCCACATAGCATATTGCATATTGTTAGTCCAGAAATAATATAGGAAAGAGAAATTAACAATTGTTTATCAATGCTAGAAGCTTCTTTAGGTTACTATGTAATCCATGAAGAAAACTGATAATTGTCAAAGAGCGTACAACGCAAGAT